AAAAAAAAAAAAAAACATACGATTAGTCCGATTTAACAAACAACTCTTAGCAACTTTCGTAGTCACTAATTTTTTAGAGGAAAAGCTAATACCAGTTATAATCCACAGATTTTATCAAATAAACCATTTGATGCACTGAACATTAACCTGGGAAGAGGTTTCGTTGAAAGCGTTGGAAAAGGTAACACATACTGTATCTGTTGAAGAACCTCTCCTAGACTGGCCTCAGTCACCTTAGGTAAACGTGATTTTTAAAGCTAGATATTCGGTAAAACTAAGAATCAGAAAGAAGATTAAATTCCTCTGAGTTCTCAGAATAAATAATTCCAATTTTTCCGTCTGTAAATCAGCCATTAACAACCTTTTGTGCCTCACCTTACTGACTCATGAACTATAGAATAGATGTCTGTAATGAAAAGTCATGACTTCTTTCTGTCTTAGCTTAAGAAGGAAGAGCATCTGAGCCAATACTGATGCGCCAGGCTATGTATTTATTTACCAAACTGTGGTGCATGAACATTTCAGTCTACCTTACAAACCATAAGCTACAGCTCTACGGTCATTCATAATTTTCTTTTTTAAAGTATTTTCACCATCAAGTGAAAGTAATCTGAGAACATTTTTCTGTTAACCATTGTTTGACGTCATGTATTTTTCGATATACCACTGTTGAATATAGCATGTTACAAATCATTCCAAACTTTCTGGAAGTAATATTTCTCGAGCAGTTTTAGTCCAGCAGTTTACATGCCTTTCGCTTCACTCAAAGACGGAACTCCGCAAAGCAGCTTTTCGTTTTGATTGAAAATCCTAATCAGAGTCACATCAAAAGTAAACCATTTCCTTTAGATTTTGTTGTTCCTTAGTATGCTTGCTACTTGAGAATTCCTAAGCCGTTCACTTTTTCTTTTCATTGAAAATTCTCATAATCCTCTGAAATCTTCGCCCATCCTTCGTAACTGGTTAATGAAGCCGAAGAAAAAATGTCTCATTCTGTCGATGAAACAGAAAATAAATCGTGCTACAGCCAAAGTAAGAAAAGCAAAAATCATGAACTTTTTCGTGGTCACATATATCTGATCAAGCTTTCGACTCGACAGAAACGCCATTTTCCACCAAATACACAAAAAACAAATCTATTCATGTTCTCCACTTTTCATGAACTTCAACCCAAAATCCAAAAGAATCAAGGGGCCTCTACGCCTGATCTGATAAGTGCTATATACAGAGAACAACACTTCTGAACCGGGTACTTAATACCGAACTCTTCCTGTGGTTAACACATATTGTCGTGTGCAGCACGCCCCTGCAATCGCTTTAAGCAGGCAAAAGCAGTTCAAACAACAAACACAGCGTTCTCCTGACGCGATTTCCTGATTTAAGCATTACGGTATCGTACAAATTTCGCCTTGATGTGTCTTCACAAACATTCCCCATTTGGATTTTATTGGGAGCTTGTGGTCTTCACTGGTACTTTGTTTCTAGTTTTTCTTTGCA